TTTCCTGTCAATGAATGAATAAGTTAACCCTTTATTTTTAACATGTGTGTGCTGTATATAAAAATACCTCGTAACAAATGCAAGGACTTCTTAAAAAAAAAAAAACGCTAGTTGTCTTGGAAAAGCAAGCAAATTTCTGGATATATTTCTATCTACTTTTTGACTGAATTAGATGAAGATAACCACAGAAAAAAAATAAATAGCAATACAGTGGAGATGCAGAGAAAACTGCTCCTGTATGTGGGAGTTTTTTTGGATAAGTATAAAATATCCTTTTCTTGATAAACTTTGCATTTACAGTTGAATGCCTCATAACAAGGCCAGTAAAGTACACAATATTTTTTTTTTTAACTATGTTAAACTTATCTAACACAGCGGTCCCARGCAAAATGATAATTTATATGCGAATAGTATTTTCATAGTAAAGGCTGATGCGACGAAGAAAGAGGGAAAAAAAAAAGATACATGTTTCTGCTTTGATGGCAGAACTGTTCTATAGCTGCCCTCTTATCCCTTTGACTAGCTCAGGTCAACACAGGAGCTTATCCAGCCTGAAGCCAAGGACAGCAATAAGACCGGGGCGGGGGAAAGAAGAACAAAAAATAGAAAAACACAGAAAGAAAGAAAAAAAGGAAAGAAAGAAGGAAAAAAARGGGGGRRAAAAAAAAGGCTAAAAAGAATTCCAGAAAGATACTATTCTCAGTAGCAGAAGAACATTGTAACATATGATCTTTCTAGGTCGCTACTGACAAAAATCTGACTTCTTTATTGTTTCATGCTAAGTTTGTCTTTACTTCTCAAGCACAGTCATTAAAAATACTCCCTCTATCCAGAAAGGAATACAGACTCATTTCCAAATAAGCAAGATCAAATTTAATTTTGCAGAGCAAGCAACAATAGAAAACTGGAAAAGCAGGCACCAAGCAAAGAAAATAAACAGGCCTTTGGTATAAATACATGATCYATGCTGAAAAATATGACAGACTGTTTTCATAAGTAATATTTTAAAGAGTGATTTCTTCCATGCTGCTCTCCAGAAATATGAGAATTTTATCTAAGAGACATTTTGTTACACACATTTGTTAGAAACACTCATTTATTTTCTAAATTATGATGTTAAATTTCTCCCATCTTTCAGGGATTTCTGAATTAGAGGGAACCTGTAATTTCCTCTATTTCCRAAGTATCCAAAAACACGCTTACCAAGAGAGGTCTAGGATACAAGCAGAAAGTGTTATAACTTCTGGATCATGACAAGAATAAAGGCAAATTAGGGCATGAGGAAAGCAACTGGAGAAGGAGGATGAAAAGAGCCATGTGCCCCTTCTGCTAAAAGGGTATTTCACATATGCTAGTTTCTAGGGAGAAAGCACTAATCTGCTATAAAGTGACCTCTTCATGAGAACAATTCACATCAGAAGTTCCTCTGAGGACAGTTTTTTGCCAGCTGTTCTCACACTTCTCCTCTCATTGTAGGAAGTTACCTCCCTTGATCTCTGGCTGCCTGAACCTCCAGATGAGATGTGAATAGCTGGGTGTTTAGGACGCACTAACAGTCTTACCTCAGCCACAGAGGTGGTAAAACCCTGGAAGGTTAGTGCGCATTAGCTAACCTTGTCTACCAATCACCTTCATGAACAGTATACCCTTAAGAACAGTGTCTGCACTACAGCCAAATTTGCATTTCTACGGTGTGGGAGAGTACACTTATTTCCAAGCTTCTTACTCTACTGAACACACTTGAAATAAGGTAACATTAGAGGATGTATGTTTCTTTCTCTAATTTAAGAACTCTTACCTAATTGATCTGCTGTTATAATTGTGSAAAGTTACACAAGGATAGGCACAGAAAATAAGTCAATGATGCAACATTGCATTTTGGTAAGTGCAGTACATAAAGCACAACGTATCAGCTACACACCACAAAGTGCTTCTTTTCTTATTGTTGGCTTTATTTCAGAGTAACACAACAAGGTATATGAAATATATCAATTCCACTATATATAAACTTGATAACATTTTTTCAACATCTGAAAATTGTTACTCAAAATGAGATTTTTTCCTTATTATTTTTCCTTGAAATCTTATAAAAAGAATGCTTGCTTCTTCATATGACTTGTCAAGCTACCAACTAAGCTCAATTCATTTTAAATTATGCCTAGAAGCAGGCCAGATGAACACTATGTGCAAAAGTATCTTCATGCTAATTCATTTTCTTCTATACATTCACATGTCGCAGTGAAAAAAAGTACAAACCTTTGGCATTGGTTTTACTGCTAATATTTGGTGCAAATAATTGAGAACTCTAAACCAACTTGAGCATGTAGGTCATGCTTCATAGCTGAGCTGCTTGCTACAATAACYATACATACTTGAGCAAAGCCATCATACTGTGTGTTTGAAACACAGAAAACGAAGCCAGAAGGTGCCATTTCAAGGCCTACTTCATTACTGATTATACTGAAGAAAGAACTTCGCTGCAGTTTTATATAAAAAGGTGCTTCTGTAGGTCTGACATTTTTACCAGATACTGGAAGAAACKGGGAACATAGCATTTTTCATTTCTGCCTATCCAGTAATAATGAAAAAAATAGTTGGCTTTAGCTGTTCCTATCACTCTTCTTCAGTGACATGAAACAGAAACTATTGCCTTAGTTTCTGGAAAAATCATATAAACAGGGTCAAGCAAGTTTGCCTTATGGAGATCCAGAAGAATTGCTATAAGAAAAAGTTCAAAATTAGTAAAATCATGACTCTAGTTCTTTCTAAAAAACATAAACTTGGCAGTATTTAAAAGACAGGAAAATCAAAAAAAAAAAAAAGATACTATGTTATAGGTTTTCACTTGTGCTTGTTCACAAAGAAAGTATCGATTTTATCTAAACATATGCAGGAATATTTCTATATTTCTGTTAAACCGTGACTGCCAAAAGGGAGGCTACAGATTCTCATAACCAAACATGCATATAGCCACCAATTTCTGTGACAAAAGGGTCTGCAAAAAAGTGGGGGTTTAGACACTTTAAGGATGCACTGGGCTGCATCCTTCTAAATAGCCCAGTGCCCATACTTTGAATTCCAAAACCAATTTCTTTCACAGATAAAGCTTCCTTCCATTTCTCAAATGGCAGCATGTTGTATTCTAGGATATGCCAGAAGGGGATATCCCTGGGATAATGTTGGGCAGATAGTTATGCTTTTTACATATTTATTCCGCCACTGCTGCCCAAGCCTGAATAAGGCTTTCATTAGAGCTGGGCTATAGCAGGTGTCTGTTGCATGCATCCGGTTTCTACCTCGACTGGAGGCTGTAGGGTTAGAGTCAAGAATAATCCAAGAACATTTTGGGGATTCATGCCTGTTTCAGATGCAGTACTTTATGCCAAAACAGAAATGTCCTAAGTTTCAGGTGTTTCCATAAACAGAACTTGCTTCCATCTCAGAGTTTGTTTTCTGTATCCTAGTGGCATCCGGACAAATGCTGATGACCACTACCAAAATTTAGCCCAGCCCCATTAGCACAAACAGATGATGAGAACTGTAAAATTAGGGTTTGTCCTTGCTTTCTTCTAAATGATTTCCATCTTTTATTGTAGTACTTCTCAGATAGCTATTTAACAGAGGCTCAAAGGCCACCCATACTACAATGTTCGCACACTAAATTTCCCTAAACTTCAATATCTCCTTGCAGTGGGATTTGGGGGCAGATCAGGAAATCCAGATGTCCGCACCACTTCAGCTAGATACAGGACTAGAAAAACATCCTGACTCTAGCGAGTAGAGGGGTACAGTTGTGTGAGTAGAGGGGTACAGTTGTGTGAGTAGAGGGGTACAGTTGTGTGACAGCATTTAAACAGGCAGGTAACAGCCTGCTGGCAAGCACCAGAACAGGAAAGAGGAGCACAGTAAACAGACCAGAAGGTCAAAAAATGTGTGTTAGAGCAGCTGGACAGTAGAGAAAAAAAAGAAAAAAAAAAAAGCACTGCAAATTCGGACTATAAAGTCAAAAAACAGGAGGCTGTAATTCAGAGAAATGTAATATTAACATTATTACAGATTTATCTAACAAAAGTAAACACTACACAGGAGGTTTTGCCCTTTATTCCATGCAAAGACATTACACCATATGGTTAGGAGGTCTTCCACTTTGTACCCATACAGGTTGATATCCTCATAGTACCAAAACATAATTTCAGCAAGCGCTCAGAATCAGCAGCAATCATGTAACTCAGTATGTAAAAGATGCTGTTATCTTGTATATTATTYTCATTAATAAAAATTTTGCAGGCCAAATTATACATTCTTTCAGACACGTACTGATGTGACTAACATGCTCTCTTCTGTACAGGAGAACTTCACTTTAATAGATTTTTAACACAAATTAATTACTTACTGTGAGTGAATCATTTTAAATTTTAATGTGCAGCAAAAACATACATTTCTTGTAGATAATTATTACCTTGTCCAATTCACTTAACTAGAAAAATTTTCCATGTAGTTTTTATATATACAAAATATGCCTTTAAACTGTACATGATCATATGCCACAATTTATTAATTTGAAATATATGAAGTAAGCAGATTTATTTAAGTACTTAAAAAAAAAACCTGTGCTCTTAAAATGCATGATTAATTAGTGGGCCTCACTGTCACAAAGTCTAATTGAGAGCACAGCACTTAAGACTTTAAAATAAAAGCAAAAATTAATGATTCAAAAAGTACATAACTAATATTTCACAGTGGATTCACTGTTCATTTCCTGGATAGTGCATGATTTTATTTCACTAATATGAATCATGAAATTGCCTCAATATGTGAATTATTAGACACTTCTATGCAAGAAAGCTTCCTAAGATCTCTTTGGAAAGTAAAGTCTTGACAGAGCTCACAAGAGAGGTGCCCCAGAATGGAAATATTTTTATTTCCTTATAATGGATTCTGCTTTTATTAGGTCTATTTGATAACAATTAAAAGACATTTTAAAATGAAGGGATACTTACAGTGAAAATACCCATTAGCTGAGTATAAAAGAGGCCACTTATTCCACCTAGAACTATCAGACCCATGAAGGCAGATATTCTTAGAAGAGCAAGTTCATGTCTACATACAAACATATCCTAGAACGAGAGAGAGAGAACAAATAATCTTTRGCATTTAAAAAATTTAAGTCTTTGAACCCAGTGGTAGCATTAGATAATAGTTGTTCCCAAAGACTTGTGGCTAAAGGCAAATACTGGATTTTCAGTTACTAAAAGTACTAAATGTACTAAAATTATAAACAAGAATCTTTTACTTATATTGGTAAACATTTCCTGGCCAGATAACCAAAGATATTTAAGGTTTGAAAAAAAAGTAAAATCACAATTTAGTTGTGATTTTTTTCACCTAAGACCATGCTGGATAGCTACAAAACRTAAGAAAACCTGTTAAACAGGTTTAAAATCTGTTAAACAATCCTAGCTATAAGGCTCACAGTTTTTAAATTCCATTTAAAACTTTAAAAAAGTTTTTAAATTCCATTTAAAAACATCTCTTTGTAATAAAAAGAGTAACATTCCTAGCTTGGCTCCTGAAGATGGTACCTGTAAAATCAAGGTATCTATACTGGAGTGATCTAACTATAATGTTGCCTATTGTCCAACATAAATTTTTATTCATCTGTTAAACCTTAGCCTCAGATGACTTATTATAACTTTSGTATGGGAGCACAAACAAGTAGCCTCAAGGCAGAGGCTGCCCTGGAAAGCCTGCTTTTACCCAGCAGGAAGTATGAGAGAGTTTTTTAGATCATTTCCAAAAGATAAATTACCTTTTTTTTATCACGGGAAAACATTTGTACATGGCAGTTACTGCAAATGTACTAGAAGTTCACACCTTATCTTACCCCTTGATAATGAGTTAGCACAGCCATTCTCTTATTTATAAGTTAGGATTATGTTCTCAAGCCTTTCCTCTGAATATGCACATCTGTTCTTTCACTTGGAAAAGCCGGATCACAGCAGGGAACTATTAAAACCCTTTCAAGTAAACTTTAAATTACAACTAGAACATAAAAGTGAACTGAATGTGGAAAAAAATCCCACCCCACTATTTTTGATGTTTATTTACTTCGAATCATTATGACTTAAAGAAGAGAAATTCTTAGATCCAGGAATACTGTATTTTAATTAAACAAGGAACAATTAGGGCAAATTCTATTTTACTTTAAAAGTCTGATATATTTGAATTATTTAAGTGAAAGTTCAAATAATAAAGCCAGGCACATTAAATAAAGAATCAGAAAGATGCTCTTATCAGCTGCTAAAGCTGTGAAAAAAAGTCAGAACTTGGAGATACATTCTGGGTCTAGTATCACATTCTTCCATTTCATTTAAAAAAATGAAATAAAAAAAATCTTAACATCCTCCTAAAATGTTACTTAAAGGGACCATTCTCAGTCAGAAAAAGAAAAGAAAAAAAAAAAAAGCATCAACTTATACCCTGCATCAGAAGATTCTAGCGAAAAAAAGAAGGCAGTATGCATTTTGTATTTTACTCTTTAGCATGCATTTTACCATGGTAAAACTACAAACTGACATGTAAGTGCTAGACAAGAAATATAAAAAGGAAAGACCTTTGATACAGTAACGAAGAACACATTTTTTTTGTATTTCTTCCCTTAACTATTTCCGTGGAAAAAAAAAATAAAAGAAAATAATCATCACAAAGGGCTTGTTTTGCTAAACAGAGAGAAGAAGTGACAATCACCATTTTTCTAGCCGTTACTTGTCCTTGTAGAATCTACTCAAAAACAACTGTACTAACTTCCACACAACTTGTCTCTGAGGCAATGACAACCAAGAAAACAACACTGGGCCSTCACCGAGAAATCCAGACAGACAGGACAGTACTTGTTAGAAAGAACCTCAGTGTATTTACTAATAAACTGTTTTGGCAACCAGACCTAAACAACAGAACAGTATTCACCTTTGAATCAGAAAGGCAACCGCATAAAGATTGGAGAAAAAAAAAGGACATTTTACAGAATATCATTGAAATTGCATTAATAACAATAATTACACATGTAGCATGTAGGCACATTACATAGAAGTTCATTCCAATGTGTTTTTATTATTCCTTCTCAAGAGCAACAGAAATATTTTTCCCAAGAAAACCACCCAAGACTATAAAGTTGCCTCAAAATAATTAGTCAACAAACAAACACTGCTTGTTTGAATACAATTTGGATATTTTCCTCTTGTTCAAACATCAGTTCATCTAGCTCTATGCACAGTATTCAGCTAACATGAACAACACAAAACTTGTCCCTCGTGAGACAAGAGGGTTTTGTCACACAGCACTTTTTCCTCACTGGATCTAGTCCTTATCTGTGACTTTGGTTTAGGTCACCACTCTGCTCAGAGTATAATAACCAGTCCAGCACTTCAGGAAATCCCTCTATTTTAACATTTTGCAAGCACCACAACCTAACTGCTCCCTCTAATCTTCAGAGCTCATGTGTGTGGCTGCCACTGCTTTTCTACATGCAGTACTCTTTCTAGATGCAAACTGCAAGTCTTCCAGGGCCCCCTTGGCCACTACAATTAGCCTTAYAGCCAAACCACAAGGATTCTTGGCCTCTTATAAGAAATGTACAGCAGAAATGTATAGCAGAAAATGTACAGCAGATGTAAAGCAGAAAACTGAAACAAAATGAGACTGACTGTACACATCTGGAGCTTTATGGTGAAGATTATATCACAAACCAAGATGTCCAGCACCTTTCCCTTCACAGTTGGTACCCAGATAGTCCACAGAGAGCTAGCAATTGTGGCAAAGATCCTAACAAGACTTCCTCTGCCCAGGRCAGAATATACAGTACGCACTTATGCAGAAGCACTAGTTCTTACGGATACTCCCCATGATCAATATTAATGGTAATTAAGAAAAATTAGCTACTATAGATTTATGTTAACATAGAAAATGGCTTGAAAGCCCAATGGGTTGAAAGATCAAAATCACATTTATTCCTTTCCCTTACAGGTTAGTGAAAGTCATGAGCATATTAAAAAGATATTTTCAAATACCTTACATTAAAAATGAAAAGATATTTTTCCTGCTTATAATTAAAGAAGTGTAAAACACAGAAGAGAGGTTATCAGGCTATCAGATTGTAAAAAAAATATACAGGCTGCAGCATTAGCAGGAAAAAAGAAGGGAGAATATTCACTCATCTTAAAAAAATAGAAAAATGGATTCATAGCTCAAGAGCCACATTCTGAATAAATCCTTTTGTAAATATACTTATTATGAATATGAACAGATGTTTAAATTAAGCACTTTGATTCAAACCATTTCAGGTCTACTAAATCTCTAATTTCCAAAGTCTAATCCAAGACTGATTTGGATTAAAGTGAAAACGGGAAGAACGCTTTTAGAAGATTCAAAAAAATGACAGTCTACACAGARTTCAAACCACAGCAATGGTTCTGAAACAATCACAGTAGTGGAACAGATTTTTTTAAAAGGCAGTATGATTTTGGCATAAAAATGAAACTGCCAATATACTTTGTTTTAACAAAATATTATCCTTTCCTTCCTGTCTTCTCCTGAGTATCAGTAAATTTACCTTCCCCACTTCTTTCAAGGTTCATACACCATCAATTTAACTACATAGGATTACAGGGTTAGGTTGTCTTTTTTCTTCCTTTTTTTTTTAGCTTTTTTTCTTGTTGAGTACTGAAGAGGCATTGTCTGTCCTTTTCTTTAAACAAATTCTCCCATCCTGTTGTCAATCTATAACCCTAAGAAAAAAATTTTCTTTATAAAAAAGGATGACATCTCCTATGCTACCTTATTTTAATTACATGTTTTCTGCCAGGATCTTACATATATGAGTTAATTACCAGGTCCTATTTCTTCCAGTTCTAGCAGTAATTGTACTCCTCCTGCTGGACAAACAGAAGCAATTACGTCAACACATCATTCTGAAAGCACATCAGTTACAAGACCCGAAAATACTACAAAACAGCTTTGTGCTTGTACGGACTGACACTTGAAGATTACATCTTTGATGAAAATAAGTATCTTCTTTGAGTAGCTTTAGAGTTATCGTATTTGTCTCAGTGAAATTAAAAACTTAAACTTGTTTGTTTTTTCTATGTTAAACTTTAAAAATAATAAGCTTTGATTTGAAAAAAGCTAAAAAATAGTGATCATATTTTCATAACACATTAATCAGTATTGTGAGAAAGTGATTCTTTCATAATAGCATGAAGAACACTTTTAAATTTACAGCTTCCATACTGTGTATTATTTTATATCCAAAGAATAAAAATAAGAAATGAAGGCACACAGCCAAAAAGATCACAAGTATTTTTAATGAGCAGGAAGTAAGCTAATTCCAGATGGCTGTTTAGAAAAACTATCCAATTTTTGAATCTGTSGTAAACACTAGCCGCTATCAATTAAAAAAAAAACTCATGGTCAAAGCCAGAAATGTCTACAAAGAAGGGCTTCCTGTGAAAAGCAGAATATATTGGGTTGCCCGGAACACTCAGGAACTTGAGGCTATTTGAACTGGAAAATTAGAACGGTCTTGTAGGATGCTTGCCTAAATACCCAACCTATATCCTATCATTTGTTGGATTCACGTGATGGCAAAAGGACAACAAATGATTGCAACAAATGATTCTGTGGCATACAGTTAGTTATATGTTATTGAACCTTCAGCAAGATGGTCAAGAATCTCCTATACAGAGCTCCAACATCTTACTCCAGGTAAAAATGCTGACTAGACTCCCAGAAAAAAAAATCTTAATTTTCTGTACTTCCATTAGGATACTCCATCCTGTAGCTTTAAAAACTGAGAAAACCTGTAAATCTACTAAGTTTATATACAACTTGAACAGCTTTATCCCTTTGGAATGCAGACATGCTGTAACACAGACACAGTTTTTCCAAAGTAAAAGTATTGTTTAAAATTTCCATAAATGGAAACTGATCATCATGACTAAAACAAGCCCTTGCAATGAGCTATGTTTTTCATGACTCTGTCAATTTTGACATCCAAACATACGAATCAAATGCCCTGTAGTCAGGCAAATGTATTGAACTGGTTTACACTTAGTGAGGGCTCTTCACCCTAACTCTTCACATCTCAAGTGCACATGTCAAAACAAGTTTTTCTCCAAAAGGYTTCAAATTAACCCAGCTGAACAATGAAGACCAAAGTTTTACATATATCCATTTTCAAAACCCTTTTTTATTACCATCAAGGTGTCCTAATATGACTAAAGCAAAAATTATTTCCCATTTCTCCACTTGCCCAAAGAATTTGATATATATCGATCCCCCTTTTAAAAAGTAAAAGTGACAGTCAGAATTTGGGTATACTGGATCCAAAAAGACGATCAAAGCACACAAAACCTCTTCTGTTTTCAAAGTTTCTAAAATCATTTAAAATCTTTAMATATGAATAGCCATATAAATTAAAAAGTTAAAATATCAGATCATCTCAAAAAMGTTGAGATAAAGTTATTTTGAGAAAGATGTGCAACAATTCACAATTTTGGTACAATCAAAATGATAGAAATTTGTTGTTACCAACTTAAATTTAAGACTTGTTAATTTAGGATGCTCCAAAGAGTGCAGTCTTCAGCTATCATTTGACTGATCACCTTYACATATGTTTCACTAGGGACTTCACACACAGTGCAGACTGATGAGCAAATAAGAAACTTAAAAAGTAAGTCCAATTCTTTTCTCAAAAGTAGAAGACTTTTAGAAAATTTAACAATTCTACTTTATACCATTTAGGATACAAAATAAGATAATAAATATCTGCAATGTTTACCAAAAGGGGAAAAAATAGGACTTGCCTTACCTATAACTGAGTGCCAGTTTCTAGCACTCTTGAAAGATAGGTGTGAAGTCACCACAAGAGAATATGCTGGTATGTCACATCAAAATGGAGTAAAAACATTGCAGCACTTCAGAACTTGGRAAAAACAAAAGCAAACAAACAGAAAAGCACAAAAGAGAACTAAATCTGGTGTCCTTTACCAATCTTTAGAATTGTTCTGGTCTCCTTCACATGTGGCACCAGAGGCATAATCTTAATTCTAACTTAGACTCTGCTCTCTAGGCTTTTTTATTTAGTATGTTTATACTTCTCAGACAAATAAAAAGTTTATTTCAGAATTTGAGTAAAGATTTTTAGTTTAAAAAAAAAGAAGAAGAGTATAAACTTTCATGCTTTAGTACTGTCAACATTCATCAACTTTCAAGCAAAACTCTAGAATAATCTTAACATTACTGACAACACAGACAGACAAGCACTGGCTACAGAGAGCTTACAGCTTCAATTTCGTAAATGTAGAATGTCTTTTTCATTGAATTCCAATTTTTAAGTTCATTTTTATTGTTTGGGTATTCAGCTGCATTACACAGAGACAAAACCTTGAAGCAACATAAGAGCATGCAATCCAAATTTCCTGCATCCCTTACCCACAGTTCTTATAATCTTCTCAAGATTGCACAAAATAWTGCTTCAAAAGCAATGTATATTTTTCTCCTTTCAAAATTATTATGTTTTTTCTCACTTCTCTGGTGATATCAGCATTTCCTGTTAAAACCTTACGATAGAAAAGAAAAATATATTCTGCATATATTTACTTTGGAGAAAGCAAAAAAGAATATTAGTACCACTGAAGTAAACATGTTGCTTTTTTCCTCTATTCACTGRTGACATCAAAAGCAACCTCACTAGTAACATCGTCCTTTCCTAGTTTTTAAAAATTCATGTTGTGTTTTCAACACGGAGATGGTAGTCAGTTCAGAATGTACTCTGTTTAGTCATCAGAAATCTAATTGCCTGCTTGAAAATACATGGGTGTGATCAGGTGAAATGACATTAAAATTTAGTAGACAAATATCAAATTATATGGCAATATTAGCTATTATTAACACTGTGGAGAAATCAGAATCTTACCCGGTTATCTTTTTTCAGTGGTAAGAAGTAGTAATAATGGCAGAAATCAAGTATCAGCGTATAAGAACTAAGAATCTGAGTGTAGAAACATAGCTGTAAAAACAGCCAATGATTGTCTTCACCAACACAATTATTAATCCTGCAGAGAAACAAAGCATATATAAAAACAGAATCTCAAGGCTTTTTAAAATGGCCGTTACCATATGCAGAGACAAATGAAAATTACTATCACTTATGTGTAATAGTAAGTTATGATAATTGATAGGCAGCAATGCATTCTTAATAGAAGTGATTGTCTCKATGCTAAAGATGGCACTTATTATGAAGATGATTGCATACATTGTCAAGGTGTAGACCTATTACTGAAATGATTATTTTGAACAGGAGATAGTTCTCCTTGTATTCAAAGATACACTGTGTGATATGCTACAATTTTAAATAATGCTCAAGTAACAAGATAAACGACAAAAAATACATAACTTCACCGTATTATTAACCGTTTGAAATAAATGAAATCACAGAGTAGCCCAATAATAAGATATACATGGCTTAGGAGCATAAGACACTGGAAGACAGAATAAGCACCTCAAACAAGAAATTTCTTTTTCAGACAACAACACAAAGGAGTAAAGAATTGCAAAGATTCTGTAAAAACTAACTATGAGATTCAAAACCTTTGCAAAGTAGGTCTAGACAGCTTCACAGAACTTGGTGCTGATTAAAATTAATTGTGGCAGGTTCGTACAAGCATGGGAACTCTAATACAAGCACTGGCACAGACGTTAATACCAAGCCAAGCCATAATGACAAATGCATTATATTGGCACTATTTTCTAAACTGAAGATGCACAAAAAAGGGTAATCTCAAAAATGACTAAATCAATGTAGGAGGATCCTGACCTCAATTCTGTCCTCTGCAGCTCATCATTGCTGTCTTGATGGAAATGACCCCTCAGATCATGGCAGAAATGTTCGTCTTCATTTTAAGCAACAAAAAAATCAGCTTGACATAGTTTAAACAGGTTGACTTAGTTCATTTTGACTGAAACTAGTTAGGAACTAGATCAATCTCAGTGGAAAAATCAGAAATACTATATCAAACATGGCATAGTGCAAGGCAATAACATTTTCTACCCAGAGACCTGAATCTATCTTTCCGGAAATTAAAAATCTAAACTACAAAACAAAAAGCCCAAACCCTGAATACACCACCACAGAAGTATTTAGTTCTTATAAGAAAAGATATCCAGTATTTTATTCCATCCCAACAAATATAAATTCTATGTTTTACTATATCTAATGTCTWTGTTTATTTCTATGCCTAGTGTTCTATGTTCTTACCCTGCCCTAAACACCCAAACAAGTAAACGCAGTTGGAAAAAAAAAAAAAAAAAAGATGACAAGCAAGCAATAATCAAGGTCATCAAGGAACTCTGAAAGGAGTAAGACAGATCCGATTCACTAAAACAAGATTGTCAGAACAAATGGCATGATCTTACCAAGGGCAGTGGTGATCCATTCTCCTAACACAATGTCCACAACGGCTACAATGGTGAGAGCGCTTTGGTCTCATCATGTTGCATTTGTTACATAATTCCCAAAATTCTCTTTCTAGGAAAAAAATATTAGAGACAGATTAGAGAGATTTAAACATGATACAACAAACTCATGATAAATGCTAGTGATTCCACGAGCCAAAAATATCTTACTGTGAACAATGCATAGAGTTAGAACTCTACAACTAAGAAATCTTCCCTCCCACCACTGCCATCTTAATTAAATCAGAAGTATTACTGTAATATTTATTTCACCATTCTCTGCCAATTTCCCTTTCCAAATCATTATTTTCACATATTTCTTGAGAGTTGTTATTACAGTACAGAAGCCGATACTCAAACAAGGTATAAAMAAGGAAATGCATACCTTTTATTCTAATTTTTTTTAAAACACATCTATTGTGAAAAAACATACCTGCTAGGTAGTCTCACAGTACTATCTCCTTACCATTCCAAACTCTTCTGAGGAAAGACTGCTATGCATACTTGTCAAAATAAGCTAACTAAAATAAAGGACACAATGAACACTTCTGAACTATCTTTTATCTCAAAGTATTTTAAGATATCCATCTCAAAAACACAGTTTTATAGATAAACAAGAAACACATAAATATAAGATAGGTTTGTAATTAAAAGCATACACTAGTTCTGAATGACCAATGTTGAGATTCTTTAAGATAATCTGCAAAGCAATCCCTCTCAGAATACTGAGAAGTACTATAGCTGAAACTAAGTTATTATTGTTCAGTTTAACTATTATCCCAAACTGGCTACCCCAAAAGAGAAGAAACCTTTGAAAAACAGAACCACAACAATATCGTAATACTTTAACTCAGGAAAATGTTTTTTTTTCTTTAAAGGAAATAGTTGCATGCTTGAGAATATTAAAATAGATTGTTTCCATTTAAATAGAACTATTTTTAATGCAGAGAAATTTATTAAATACCAAGAAGTAAAATTATGCTTAGATTTCCATTATTCTGGAATCTTGTATGGCAAAATAATTGTCGCTGTGTAAAGAAAAAAGAATCAAACTTAGCAGTTCTGGGCCACCTGCTGGCAGCTCCCATCTTGTCTTTTTTGCTGTAAAATACCAATCTGAGCTAGAAGTAAAGAAACCCAATAATATCAGAGATCACTGAACTAGTGATAATGCCAGATGGAATCTGATTTACAATCTGTTCCCATGAATCTAATGGCACAAAGGCATGACTCCCTAATAGGGTGTTTACCAGGCGAGCTCAGCAACACCCCAACCTCATTACTGAACAGGATTTAGACCATGCAAACAGTGTCTTGCTACCAACCTACAGAACACCAGGGAACTGAAGTACTACTATAAAAAGAACAGAACCCCTTACTCAGCACAAATGAGATCATACTACTATCATAGTAAGGCCTCAGCACTCTGTTTTCAGAAGTAGTCACAAAGATATCATGAAATAAGTGAAACTTTAAATGAATTTCAAAGTTTGGAGGGTTATTCCAAGGTATTCAAATGAACAGGAATAATTTGTGCATAAAAGTAAATAGTTTGCATTAATTTGTATTAATCCTGGTATTCTGCAGTGAAATGAACAAGAAATTCAGCAACGAACCTGCCTGTAACTTAAAGCGTGTTCATGCACCATATCAGACTGCATATTCCATGCTGCTATTCCTGCAGCACAGCTTTGACCTAAGAACCCAAGCTTAAGCCATTTTTTCCTTTTATCTGGTAAAAGGCTATCAGAAGCAGAACACTGACATGAGACTTTCCACGATGAACTTCACATCTGAATTTCAGAGAGGTAAATCCCTTCCTCCTATGTAGTTTGTAACTTGTTACCATACCAGGGCTGGGGCCAAAGAGGTAATGTTTCCAAATAGATTCACCCTAGATTTTCACTGCTCGTCAGGACAGCAATGCTATTCCTGTCCTCAAGCATTGCGCAGGAAGAGCACGAAACATCCACCACTCATCCCATTTGACACTTCACCACTCATTCCATTTGATACATCTTCTACACTCACAAAGTATTTTCTGTTCATGTGACAAGCTTTTTAATTGCCCTATTACATTCTAAACTGACACATAAAAGTGGTATCCTTTTAAAAGGATCTTAACATCACAAAACAAGTAGTTTTGTGATGTTCATTTAAATATCGACTTTCTCCATGGAGAATTAGGAATGTTCTAAATTCTCTATTTCAGAGATCTCAGGTGTCAAACAGGCATTATGGGATAAATCAGTGTCATATTTATTTAGCTAACACACCATACAAAAATAAGTCACTGCAGTAAAATACGTCCTTCACAAGCAGAAAAAATCCATCCTATACTACAGCTTTTAATTCCTAATAAACATGCTTAGGAAAAAGATACAGAACTACATTCACTAAGTATCTCAACATTTTTCTTTTAGCAAATAACAGCGAGTCAGACTTATCAAAATCCTAACTGTTCAAGGCAAAAAAAAAAAAAAGTGATTTTTATTCAAAAATACCAAAGAGTCTAATTTTTGCTATTATTGTTATTTATAATCTAGGAGTTATTAGAATTAAGATAACAACTGCAGCAGCCTAATCTTGTATTATTTAAAATATCTTATACCTGTAAGTGGTATCTTTGGGTTTTCAGGTAGTTTTCCTGGATCAGCTACTGAGGCTCTTAGTAACGAAGCAATACAAAACAAGGAACAAAAGTAATAACCTGAAAAATATACAACACTGGTTACGCTCATGCAGGAAAAAAAAAAAAGCAGGAGTAATAATACATCACACTAATTACTTCAAGCTAGTAAAAAAAAAAAGCAAAAAAAAGTATAAAAAGATATGATAACATACTGAAAAAGTTCACCTGATTAGAGTCAATGGTATTTTAGATTTTCTAAAAAACAAAGGTATAAGCTAGCATATATAATAAACTTAAGCAAGTGTTAAGCAAGTATTAAAAGAATAATCATTTAAGCATTTAAAACCTAGAAGTTTTTTAAAACTTCACTACTACCTACTTTAATAGATGGTTAAAATGATGGTCCATATAAGTAGTTTCTTTAGCTTTTAAAAGAATCAAAAGAAAAAAAAATTTAGAGCAAGTTGTTTTAACATCTGTATGATTSATCAACTGTTGTACTTAGCAAATCTATAGTCCTGTGAATTGGCCTGAGTAACATACAAAGACCCAAAGTAAACTTCACAGATGCATCRTGGTCTATAAACTGTCCATGTGCCACTCACCCAAGTTTCACAGAACAGTTTGAAATCTGCAAGAGAATGTGCTCTTCTAGACACACTTAGTCAGCTGGTTTTACAAATAAAAGAATTTTGATATTGAACCAGCTACATGCATCTCCTTTTTGTCTACAACTGGAACTTCCAGTGTCTCAAAGATCCTCAGGAAAATAAACTGAAGAGCTCATAAGGATAAAGTGATTCTTCACCTTGTTTCCAGCTCTAGCAAGAAGCACATTTCCCTGACTTCCTTCATTAACCCAATTATTGGGTTAATGTCCCATTATTCGCTTATGATAGGCCTATCCCCTAAACTATCCTCCAAGAATGTTGGACGTTTAAGAGGAGGAAAATTGAGGATCCAGAGTTTTATTTCAAACACTGACATGTTTGAAATGAGGAGTATGCACATGCCAGCAAGCCTCTGCCCTTTAGCTCAGTCTCATCCTGACAAAGACTACAAGTCATACTGACTCTTTCAACTCCTATTTACTAAGCTTTAATTTCAAGAATCTCTTAATAATATATCAGACAGCAAACAACTGTAGCACCCATATTAAAGAAACAGTTACATGTGATTTTAGGATAAAATACTTGCACATTTTCTTACACTTTCCAAATCAGGAATCTAATGTTCTTCATCCTGAACCAATATTACAAATAAACAAACAAACAAACAAACAAACAAATAAATAAATAAATTGTTTCAAACAAACCACAACCTAAAGACATGCTACTCAAACTACAACATATTAATGTTCAGAAATATACATACTAATCATACTCTAAAAACAATCCGTGATTGGAACCATAAGTAACCTTCCAGTAGAAACTCAGATTTGGTCTTCAGTGGAAACAAATTTTATTTTCAGAGGTGTCCAGAATATAGTTTCCACTCAATCAAAAATGCAGATTCTAGAGCAGTCAGTTGGAAATCACTCAGCCTTCCCATAACAATCCAGAGCTAAGTTAAATCGACTTACACAAAATCACCRCAGCGGAAACATGTCCCTCTTCATAGTGAGGAAAAAGGATGATTTTGGGAATGAAGACTGTGTTGTAGACCCAGACAAAGATAATGAGGCCCATGCAGCACCAACCCTGAGGGTCAACCACAAAGTGAATTCGCAGACCCATTGGACATAAACAGATGACAATTTGTCACATCCACGAAGAAAAAAATCTGGAGAGATAATTAAAAAAAAATTGAAACTAGTATCACGAAACCTACAAGTTTCCGTAYGTATTAAACAGGCAGAAAAAAAAAAGTTTATGATTTAAGGAACTAAATGAAACTTATGTTTCCCTTACACATTAGTGTATCGGGAAGACAGCTATCTCATGATTTTATTTACTTACTACACCTCACTAAAAATGTAACATTTCTCACCAAGATGCATATAAAACAAATGCCTGGAAAATCTAGTAAGTCCTAAGAAAAGCGAGCAAACAGTGTCTGCCAGGTGGCAATAGGAAAGGATATAAACATTCTCACCTGCCTATTGTATTTTCCAAAAATATACTGGAAGATCAACTTTTAAAGTCRATGTAACAAAATATTCACAAGCTTCCAGGGAATTTATTGTCATTCCTCACTGCTCAGAAATTTTCCCTGGYAACATTTACAATATATCTGTGAAGAACAGGAACACACTTCCCCAATGTCTTTCACATAAATCAAGAGGAATCTTACAATGRCTTAAAATAGTGCTTTCCCACTATTTTTCATACTTAAAAACATCAAGTTTTCTATACTGTTAGCGCTTAGCATGCTGTGCTCAAGCCAAAACTTCAAAACTACTTTTTTGTTGTTGTTGTTCTTGCCCAGCACTGAAAGGGTTAGGTGATGTTCATCAGAACCTTCAAGCCAAGGACTACTAGCATTTATTTTCCTGACAGGATACTTTTGCCTAAGTATCTTAATATTGCAACAGATTTTATTCCTAAACACACATACAAACCTTAAAGGATCCTACTGCCCAGCAGGCAGCCTATTTGAGTAAACTGTTTTCCATGGGGAACTGCACAACTGGGTGTCCATCTGAGGTACTTACACACAAGTGCACGTAGCATCGGGAACAAACAGGAGTAATTACAGGTCCCTGCAGCCAACTGCAGGGCTACARCTTCACTGGTCTAACAAGGATGCGATGGAATAGTTCACATGACTGGAGTGCTGAAATGGATACAGGCTGGAATGGTGAGGACAGGGAGTCACCATTTAAGCAAGAGAGTAGTGGTAACAGATGGAACCTCCTTGGAAGAAATGATGAACCACTTGAGATTTATGATTCAGGATTTGTGGGAAGAACAGTGTGGGCGATGTTGTGGTGAATGTCTGTCACACGCTCTCTAAYCAGAAAGCATAGGCAGATGAGGCTTTCTTTGGACAACTGAAAGAAGCCACCAGTTCACACACCCAGTCCTCACCAGCAACTTTAACCACCCTGATATGTAGGGAAGCCACACAAKAGCTCACAAGCAACTTAGGAGATCTTTAGTGAGAACTTCCTGACACATCCAGCCTTCATGCCACTCAGGGGAGCTCCTCATGCTTCTAAAAAAGAAATGTACAGGATGTGAATGCTGGAGGCATCTTTGCCTGCACTGAAAAAGCATGGTTCAGGATCAGGAAAGAAGAGAACAAGGCAATTGCAGAAAAAGAGTCACAAAGATATTAAGGAGTTGAAACATGTGACACACAAGGATAGGCTGCAAGAACTAGGACAGGTTAGTTTGGAGAAGAGACGTCTCAAGGGGATCCTATTCATGTTGTATAAATATCTGATGGGAAATAAAGAATACAATACTCTTCAGTCATGCCAAGTGACACAATGAAAAGCAGTAGGCACTAACTRAAATATAGGAAATCCATGTGAATATAGAAACAAGAAAAATGTAGTTTTTCCCCATGTCACAGTGGCCAAGACAGGAACAGGTTGACCAGAAAGTTTAGAGAGCTTGCATCTATGGAGACATTCAAAATCAACTACACAGGGGCCTGACAGTCTGCTCTAGTTGACCCTGTTTCACCAGGGAGTTCAGGACTAGCTCTAGAGCTCACTATTTATCTCAGTTTTAACAGTTTAATTTGCACCCCTTCTAGCATATTTCTTCCTTCTCTCATCCTTTCTGACATGACTGAGCTGGAATTAACCTGCATTACATACATTATCATTCCTGCCACACTCTCCGCTCATATAAATGCACATACAGGGAAACACACAATGTACTCGTGCATATTTTCTGGTTTACAGTGCTTATACATCCACTTGATCTCAGCAGTCATCTAAAGATCATTCTTGCAATCCAAACATGAGAAACAACTCCCTCTTAAAGTGCCAAATATTGTTACTGTTTAATTCCTAATGTTTTTAATTTCAAAATTACCAGCTTCTGTCTCCTGCTTCTACTTAAGAGATTTTTTTTATACCGAGAAAAAAAAACAAGACCAGTACTTCTCTTTCATTTTCAACTACTGAACTTTGACAGTTAGAGTCACTCAAAGAACAGAAAGAACACAAAARCATCAGCATTCTCATTATGAATACCCATGCAAAACTGAATGGTTAACAAGTTTCAATACATTTATTTAAAAAATAGTAATTTTTCATCAGGCCATGATCTTTCTTCTTTCAGAAAAATAAAACTTACCTGGGGGAAGATGAAGTTGTTTGAGGTTTTTTTTATATTGATGCCTTTTTCCCTATCTATTCTTTTCCCTGCCTATTCTTCTTTTCCCTACCTAGTCTTTCCGCTATTACGTAGAGCAGTAAAGGCGATAAATGAATTTTAAAAATGCTAGATTGCATGAGAAAAGAAGTCTATGCTTTGGGTTTTTCAGGATGATAGCTAAGCATGGATCTTATTATTTGCATAAGAATCTTACTATTCATTCTTGCTAGTGTCAATTCAATGTACTTTTCTGCATTCCCATGTTGCTTCATGTCTCTTTTTATACTTGTGATCTAACTCTGATTATTAAGAAGCTAACTTTCTGAGAACACTTTCTGAAATCAATCCTGSGGCTTATCAAGAATAATTATTCAATACAAGTTTCTTTCTTTTGAACCTATAAAGGTAAAAACTTTTGCCTACAAAAAAAGTACTGCCTACTCATTGCAATATTTGTGTGATACAAATGAAAAATACTTTAAAAATGTTAAAAGTTTCTTTTGTTTTTTTTATGCTACACTACTTCAGAGGAAAATACTAGCAATAGTATAGGAAAAAAGAGCAAGTTTATGAGCAGGTTCACCAAAACTCGATTGCAAAATACAGTTAAAGATTGCTTTATACCTTTTTAATCTCAGAACAGAATTTAAAACATTTTCTTCTAAATAGGCATCTCAAACAGCAAACATCTGAAAGCAAAGAGTAGCAGAGACACAGAGTATTAAAGACACAGAGTAGCTCCATATCTGCCAAGAAGCTACTCAGTTCTTCATACGTACTTCGAAGTTATTCTTGCCTCTTCATAAAATGTTTTCTAACCAATGCATGAACACATAGTATCTATTTCTAACCCCTTTCTCTCTGATCTATTCAATAAACAATATCATAAATCCTATACCTGTTCATTATAATTACTTACATAGTCACTTCTGATGTGCTGTCCACTGAACAATGAGTCCTCACAAGGAACCCAGCAGGCAAGAAGTCACTTCCAAAGGGAAAAGAAGTTCTGCACTAACTGTAAATAYTAACACAAAATAAAGATTACTTTAACTGATTTGTTTGAACACAGACTTCCAAAATGTATACAGCATTGCAACAAGATTGTTCGAAAACACATTTAGAAAGATTCATAAATAATTCTAGCCAGTTTCTCCTTTTACAAAACATAACACCAAACTGAGAAGTAACACCTTGCTCTGTTATGGCTCACATATAGCTATAAGGACTGACAGCTAGAAATCAAACTGTATTTTCACACTCTGTCTCACTTTAGGGGAGCAAGTAGTCCTGGAGTAGTTCAGTACCACTTCAGCAAGAAATTCTGCACTGTACAATACATGGCTGCATGGAGAAAAAGATCATGTTCTAAAAAAGCTTAATAGATAGATAGTAGAATAATCCCTGTAATAACCAAAGCAAAGAGACAACTACAAGCAGCATTTGCCAAGTTGCAGATCCAACAGTACTTTCAATGTGCAACTTTTCTGGACTCTTCTGGAGTTGACTTAAGAATTACAACCTAGAAAAAATGGATACAAAGCTGAAAATACATCTTGGAGAGGAGAGGAGAAGAGGTCAGGAATACAATTACCACCTCACTTTTCAATTATTATTTTTTTTTAAGAGAAGCCTTTTATGTGAAGAGCTATCAATTCACAATGGATGGCTAGAATGATCGTTATAGTTCCACAGTTTTTTCAATTTAACACAAGTGATATCTGGCTAACCAGCATATTTTCGCCATGACAAGACCCCAAGTATCTGGTGCAGCAATGTTTATACAACCGACAGTTGTTAAGAGACACCTGGGCACTACATGCCCGTGCAGCCCTTGCTGACAGGCCAATGAAGGTMGACAAAACCTTCCAAAATGAAGTGTTTTATCAGTAGCTGACCACCCTGCAAGGTGTTCCAATAAAAAGACACCATCATCTACCACATTTGTAAGAAATGCCAACACTGCATGGACTGGGATTTGACTTGGTATCAAAATATTTGCTTAATATCCTGTTTTATCAAGGATGCAGTCTCACAAGTAGTGATCAAAGAGCCCACTCCTCCTAGCTAGATGGTGTAAGCCACTTACACACATTCCCAGAAAACTTATTAATTTCACTTTCTTAGCTACTGAGGCTGAAAAAAGGCAAGGTTCGAAACTAGGACTCTCAGCTGCAGACACTTCCTCACGAAACTGATGCCTCAGGCGGCGAGGGCACGAGGCCCCTCTTCAACCAGGGCCCCAGGYCAAGGGCCGGACCCGCCGCCACGGTCCCGAGGCCACCTCGCAGCGCGCGCGGCGCCGGCAGCGGGCGGGAAACGGCCAGCGGGATTCGTTTCGCTTCACGAAACCGAACCAGGAGCTCCCTCCTCCTCCCGACCCTCCCCTGCGCGCGGAAACCGCCGTTTCGGACACCAAACGCCGG